TTTTTTCGCAGAACTATTTCAAATAATAAGTAGATTCGTTCTAGCGAAAAAAAAATTTGGGGGTTAGGTGCACTTTAAGCGATCTATTCGGTGATTGAGCCGCATTTGATCGCTAGCGAACACCGCGAACAATTTTCGTTGCTCTCTGTCTAGTCTACAGATGGAAGCTGTACTTTCTACATTGGAAAAGAGAAAAATTTCTAGTTTTTCGCAGACCATGCTAAGGGCTTCCAGTTTTCTGGGAAAGCATGTTTATACAAGTTTGTCTCAGTCAAGCGTGGGTGGCTCACATGATTAGGACTTCCTGCCTTTCTGGGAAAATCACATGCAGTGTTGATCTCTACTGGGTACTCGAAGCAATCGATTTCCAACCTTTAATTCTGTTTCGTTACTTAGAAAAATCGAAAAACGGTAAAGAGGAAAACAACGACGACAACATTGGAGAGCTCTTTTTGTCAATGGTTTTCCCAATGTTAACGTTTCTCCCACCTTCTGGCGGAGCGGTTTAATTATGTCATCATAATTAGCTGTTTTCTAGAAAACCGTTCTCAAAATAAACATCCACACCCAAACGCCCTGCGCTCTGTGATTGGCTGAACACCATGATCAGGTGATTTATGACGGTGATGCAGCAAAGTAATTTACCATTTGAACGACGCTTACACCTGGATCGCTGCTTGACATCTTATCCACATTTCTGGCTTCAGCGTGGAGGCACACCTCAAAGCGTAGACCTTTAGCTGACGTACAGCACCGACGAGTAATATACCTGCAACGAGTCAAACGATTATGGCTGCAAACATGAATGCCGTTATATATTCTGTAATCTTCTGCTTTCTTGAACACGCAGTTGGTGAGTATTCATTTAGGTCAAAGTCCTGTCGTTTCCTTTTGACATAATTTCAGTTGAAATCATTTACTACATGTATACCAGTTACCGATTTGGAGAACCTTTGCAGAGATCCAAAGGCGCTTGGTCTTAGCTTGAGGCTGATTGGCGCCCTATTCGGTGCCTGACCGAGTGACTTGACACGAGTTCTGGCCGAAGATGTGTTCTTGGCCAAGACTAATAACTCCTATAACGCTCATCTCTAACCAGAAACGTAACTAAGTATCTATCGAACTGCTAAGCCAATCTCAGCCAGCTAATTCTTATAGGAGGAGCTGCAGCAACATTACTGTTAATACTACTTTCATTACTAAACGGAACCCATAAAATCTCCAGCTGGGGGGGCGTCAGTATATCTTCACCAAATGCATACCCAGGTCGGTATTTCTTTATTTAATGGAACTGCTTTTGAAAGTGGTAATCTCGGCTCTCAGTTAGGGAGAGGAGTAGCAATGTTACTGAAATGTTTAAATACCGAATGAAATTTAAAATAATACAAGTCCCGTGTATGGATCAAGTGCGACTTCGCCTAACTTTATCTATATTGTGTATTCGTGCTAAACATAATTTACTGTTGGCTACTGCTTGACAATGGTAAATAGAATATCAGAATCATTTCACCATTATTGTTGTCTCCTTGTTAATCATCCTTAAAGATGCTGGTCCAAAAGTCTGTCACGCTTGCGCTGAAAATGATGAAGCTACTTGCATCTTGAATCAGTTTAGCCAGACGTGTGCCACTGACCGAAATTCACTCGGTACAACTCATTGTGGTTCAGCTGTTGGGACATATCGCGACGCGTATGGATTCGTCTACACGGGCGTTATTCGAGGGTGTATTGATTGTGCAGGTAATTAACTATCAACTAGTAGCAATCAAAGATTAGAGCAGTGCGTTTACGGGAGGAATAATACATATGATAAACTAATGAGGAATTGATGAGAAGCTAGTGAAAATTTCCAATCTCTTAGGTTGATGGTCCACCCCTAAACAAAATGTGCCTTTTTAAATCGTTTTATAACGTAACGCTGTGAGATTCAGAAAACTTTGAACACTTAAACATTTCAATTGTATTAATGACCATTACAACCAGATGCGAGATGAAGCGGCAAGTAAGGCAAACAAATGCTTTTTTCTCGTTCACTCACGAAACCACAGATTCGATTGCTTTTCCTTTACAAATATTGGCTGTTACATTGTGTTTTTTCATGCTTAATTCGGGAGCGTATTAACTCCGCAGGTAACATTTTAAATCTAAATAAACCTGAATTCAAACAAGGGCCTTGAGAGGGAAGTGTACTTTGAGCTGTTCTACTGCTTAATCGCAAATCTTGCTTGTTGACTTGTGAAATGGGCACTAACCATTTAACTAAAATTTTCGGACTTCTTGGCTACAAAATCAATGAAACTTATAACTTTCTGGAATTTCGTGGAAAAATTGCGGACTACCTCCAGATTGCTAATCTCTCCTTTCAGTAGTTTTTTAGTTAGATGTATGTATCTCTGTAGCTATGTATGTAACGATGAGTTCCGGAAAAGTATAAGAAAACCTTATCTCAACTCAGTGGGTGAAAATGGTAGGGCCCAGTTGTCCACCAACTAATACAGAAATTGTGTTGTACTTTAGCAGGCTTTTTAACTACAGATAAGGGTTGTCGTTTGCATTTGTCATCTCAGATAAAAAAGCAGCATGTTTCGCTCTTGGCGGCGCTCTTAAAGCACGGGCATTCTGGACTTTGTTGAAGTGTGAGATGGACTGCTGTACTGATAGCAACTGCAACAACCAGACTCCAACTTTGACACAAGCTGCAATCACTGTGTTTACACCAGAGGGTAATACAAAATACTCTAACTTTAGTAATAAATTAGACTTAACTAGAAATTAGAACGTCTGCTGTTTCTCAAAATATTATTGTATTTGGCAAATAAGGGAATGCGATATTTCGAGAGAATTTTCGATTTGTTTATATAGCAATGTTAATCTCGTTCGTTTTTTAGTATTGAAATATATAAGAAATTCCCCTAAACATACTGAGAGAGTATACTGGTTGATATTATATACCTGTCGATAGCCAAACGCATCATAAACTTAAAACTTCCGATTTTTAACAGTTATCATTGGTCTGATAAATCATTAAATTTTCAATCCTTGTCATCCAAACAAATTTTTCCAGGCAAGAAGTGCGGATTATATCCAACCCTCTTGGATAGAAATATTTATTGGGGAGTGGAAATATTATTCAATACTCGCCTCAGTACGACTTGCCGCTTTTTTTTATTCCAACAGATGCTGGTCCAACACAGTGTTACGCTTGCGCCGAGCGTGATGCGGCTTCTTGCAGCACGAATCAGTTTATACAGACGTGTGCCACGGATCGAAATTCCCTCGGTACAACACATTGTGGCTCCGCGGTTGGTAAATACCGGGACGAGTCTGGGAAGGTCTTGGATGGCTTTATTAGAGGGTGCATTGACTGCGCAGGTAATTAACTTGAAAAGTGACTTCTTTAAAGAAGCTGCGAAGTGCTTGAAAAGTTTAGTGTCAATTTTTCAATTTCGTTATGGTTTATTATGAATCTTTGATGTTATCTTTCTAGTCACTGTATATTTTTCGGGTTTCCTTCAATTTCCAGGCCATTTTGCACTTGGCCAAAATAACTCAAAATACCGTGACTGAGCTAAAGTGTCCGCTAATGGACATGTCGCGAAAGATATATTTTAAGTATGCTTTTAACTCTCGCCTGAATAAACATTTCGTTCACAGAATTGTAAAGGTGACGTGTTTTAGTTTTATTATTCCGCAAAGAAACCCCTGCATGTGCTGTACGTTCTACTCGCAGAAGCCTCTGTTAGCATTCATTAGCAGAGCAATGGTTTGTCTTTTGTATTTGTTATTTCAGATAAAAAGGATGCATGTTTTGCTCTTGGCGGCGCTCTTAAAGCACGGGCCTTCTGGACCTTGTTGAAGTGTGAAATCGAGTGCTGTACTGGCATATACTGCAACACGCAGACTCCAACTTTGTCACCAAATGCGATCACTGTGTTTGCATCAGTTGGTAATACTGGATATATGTTTTAACAAGTATATGATTTTATCTAGTTTGTGACGTTTTCACCCCCATAGTTTGGTTACCTTCAAGCTTCGGGTTAACCAATGTCAAAATTTATTACAGATTTAAGGAAGATTTATTTAAATTTCATGTGGATTTGTGACTCATTTTGAGGCCCATTTTGCATTAATCCCACTAAAACCAAGTTCTTTTTGACAAATGTATAATTGACTTTCCTTTTAGTATTGATGACTTCCCTGGGATGCTTATTCAGTACACAATTTGAGATGTAAAGACATGTCAACTACATTATATTACTTCATATCATCATTGTTAAATTAATCTTTTCAACGATATTTCTGTTACAGGAACAACTGGACAACAGGTCTCATTCAGTACCAGAGCCCTTGCCCTTGCACTCTCTTTTGGCAACATCTTGTACCACTTCTACTGATGCAGATGTACTAATAAAAATAAGCTGGCGTAGTGTGTTATTTTACTAAGGAAAATGAGAGAGGCGAAACATATCCCCAAACAAATATTCGACTAAAACGTCCGGTTAACCCTTAACTGGGAAATTTCCTTCAAAAATGCAATTTTTTTTCCCGTTAACTCGGTTATTTGGCTGCCACGACCCTGAATTGGCCTCAACCTTGCAGAAAAAAGCAATTTCTTGCCGAGGAGCAAGATTTCCCTGAGGATTGGGTATCAAAATGTACAACGTTTTACTTTTAAGCATGCGCATGAGCAAAAAATTGGAATTTTTTTTCTTCTATGCTGGCCTGATACGATTTTTTTTTCTTGTCCTTTTCCTTTACTTTTTCTCGCCCCTTTTACTCTTGCTAGCTTTTCCTCTTCATATTCCTTCTGCCAGCCCTAACAAGTTCGGTGTTGATTATGATGAAAGTCTGGAAATGGAATCTTGATCGATTTTAGGTGTAATGGGCCATTTTACCGCCAATGTTTCCCAGCTCCATCAAGAATAGCTATTGACGCCTAAATTGATGACCCCACAGCGGACAAAAACGTCCATTTGCCAGTTAAAGGGTTAATTGATTGAATTCCAGCGGCGTTTCCAGAGTTTCAGGAAGACAGGACAACTTCTCCTGCTCTCGAAGTATTCTCAATTTTTTCCAAAAATATCTTACCATGATTTTTCTTCCCACAATTTCCGAAATTTTTGGTTGAACAGTTTGTTTTAGAAGTTTGATCTAAAATGTTCAGATTTCCTGAAAATCCCTAGGCAATTTGGTTACCATTTTTTCCCTGTTTGATTTATCGCCTAAGCAGATGCCCTTTGGACTAGCGCTTTATAATTATTCGTGACAAGCCTACCATTTCAAAACTCCGGAAATTTGGTCGGATAGAAACCCACTCCAGAGGTCAGATCAAATGTAGCTGCGTTATTTTAGTGCGTTTTGATCGCCTTTAAAGTAAAAAAAAAAAAAGCAACTATAAAATTTCTCGACTTGAGTCAGTAACTTAACAATCAATTGTTGACCTTAGAATAGCCAGACCAGTCTGAGTCAGAACTGAAATAAATTTAAAATCATCTTCATCGGAAGAGGCCCATGTACGGAGGATCTGTTGCTTTCTCTCATTTTCTTTTGCTTTAACTCGCTTTAGCGTTTCCTTCTCATTTGTGTAGGCCATTCAGTAGAAAATTAAAATACAAAATGGAAACTCGAGTTTTCAGGTGCAAAACTGCCAGCATGTGTATGTTACTAGCTAGTTTTAATACAGTTCTGTAATAAAACAGTCGGTGTTCTTCCTTACCTTTGCTTAATTGTGTTTTATAAACAAGTTTATATATCATTGCTTATATTAGAACAACCATCCGCTGAGTTGTAAGAGGGAGGGCGGCATTTAATTGTGTGAATCGAGTCGACCTATGCGACAACCTGTCGAATCGGCGCGCGCATCAACGGCGAAGGTCATTGTCATCATCTCATACCACTCGACTTCCAGTGACGAATCAAGTCGATTCGTCAACATGTATAAGCCCCTTAAACGCTTTAAGAGTGAGTCAGGTGTATGCTCACGCACGACTCGATTCCTTCCGAGACGATTCGTCAGCTATCTTTACAGACTAATCGACTGAAATTTGGTGTACTGAACAAGGATGGCAGAACTGCAATAAAACCACCTCCTGCCTTTACCGGGTCTGTCTTGCACGATCTTAAGCCTCTTGTACATAATCTTCCAGCATTTGTCAAAGATACCGACTGATTCTAAGTTCTGAATATTGAGAAGGGAAATTACTTTTGTCTTGGGATGTTGTAGCAACGTTTCCAAACAATGAAAGGCCCTTGATTTAATACAGGTTACTTTTTTATAGGTTGATTGTCGAAACCGTTGAGATTTTTTCTCCCAGTCACCAACTGACATTTTATAGACCAAACGTTTGTTCAAAAGCATGGGCTTAATGGACTTTTTTCAGCTTTGCAGCGAGGCCTACAGAATACAAAGGAAACTGAATAAGCTTGTTTAACCATTCCCCTCGTTTGTGCCACTAGATTTCAATATCACGCTGGAGATTTTTCTTGATACAAACACGATTAAAAAACTTTAACTGAAGGATATAATTATAATCAGACCACCTAGAAGGATCTCTTCAAGTTGAGAATCAATTTTATTCAGTTCACTTTGATATAGGAGTAAAGGACAGAAGTTAGCTTGACACTCATGATGTCCGCAAGTTTCTTTTTCCTGACATGAGAAAAGCACTACAAAATGGAAAACATGTGGACCTCTTTCACGAGTTACTCTTGATCTTGTGGTGATCTTATTATCATCATCATCATCATCATCATCATCATCATCATTATCAATAGTTTATTTCTTTTACTTACTTTTACCTTGTATATACCAATTTGTATGGAATATGTTATTTAATGTTATGATGATGATAGTAGTATTAGTATTAGTTGTAGTAACCATGATATCATGATTAGATACGGAAACATGTTTTACAGGTTTAACAGACATCA